TCTCTGTAAACCGCTTAGAGAGGCCTGAAAGGCCTATGAAGCGGTATATAAGTCTACTGCTATTGCTATTCCCTCCTCAGGATTTGGGGCAGTCATGAAGATCTCCTTCCAAACTCACCTGCCTAGACATAATCAGCTTCCCCAGAGGCATTGGAGCACCGTTTTCTGTCGCAATCCTTTTCAACGTAGCAAGGGCCTTTTCTTGGTTACCGGTTAAGACATCGTACCGGGCACTTTCCGGCAGCCACTGCAGGAGACAAGGAAGACCGTGAGATGTTGCCCAGCCTGAACCTCCTATCTTGTCAAACCTGCCAGCTGGAAGCCAAGCGGGGTGGCAGTCCGACACTTCTTGAGTACACGAGGCTGAGGGGGCATCTCGAAGGCTTAGACTATCTAACTACCCAGGAAGGGAAGTTATCTCGTGTGCAGCCAGGGACCCCAGAGAGAGTACGTACAAAACACAAGATGGCAAACAGCATCAGAGGCAGAGCTGAAAGGATGAGCAGCCAACGCCAGCCGAGGGTGGGCATCACGAACACTGCCAGGAGGACTTCAAAGACCGTCCCGATGGCCCAGAAGACCTGTCCATGGGAAGGAGGGGGAAAAAAGGAAGGGTTATTCCAATGGATGAGTTCCATGTCAGCAAAGTAGATTAACTGCCTCGGCTTCCGATGGCCACCATTGGCGGGAAATCTGTTCGGCGTGACTTGCTCACTTGGCACACGCCCAACCAATGTGGCAGCTTTGGAGCCACAAACAATGAAACGGGACAGTGATGTGTGGACCCTGAAATCTCTACTCCTCAGCTTTTCATTTTGGATTTCTCTGTCATCCGAAACCCGGCTCTTCCGCACTCACCTCAATCAGCAATATGCACTTTGCTCTGGATTTCATGGGGAGGAATTCTGCGTATAACGTTACCCTGGAAAGAATAAAGATATCAAAGAGGCAGCGTGACAACAATACGGCTCCTGCTCTCCAGGGAAACTGTTGGCTTTTCATTGAAGCTCTAGTGAGAATGTTCAGAACAGCCTTATCCCGGTTGGGTGATGGATTCAGAACTGGGGAGCCATGGGAAGATGGCAGCCATTTCAAGCAGGCCTCTCCAAAGTCCGGGTTATGTCTGGAAAAAGGTGGTGGTGGGGGGATATACTTACGACTGAGGGACGCCTCCAATCCCAAAGCCCACCAAGCCCCTCAAGACCAAGATCCAGCTGTAAACTGGTGCAAATCCACTAAGGACTCCGTAGTACAAGGTCCAGAGCACGCTGATCTTCAGCCCCTGCGCGGAAGGAAGAAAGCAAAGTTTACTGCTCCCAGGACGAAAACCCCAAACTTTCCCCTTCGGGTGAACCTGCAACAATATATAGGAGATAATCCCTGGGCCTGCAGATGGGGATTGCAGAGGACTGAGAAGGTAGTTCATACACCTGGAAGGACACTAAGCAGGGTAATGAGGGTTTGGCGTTTAATGCCAGGGGACCAGCAAATGTCCCAGACGCGCGTGGGAGACTTACGGTTTTTCTGCCATATTGGTCTGAAATATTTCCCCACAGTGTGGAACTAAACATCATTCCCAGGAAAACCACCTGCAAGGAATGGAGAAAATGGATTTGCTGGGTGCCGGCTGAAATGGGGGTTTCCTAAGAAGACAAAACCTCCTAATGATGAAGGCGAGGTGGCGCAGTGGTTAGGGTGCAGTGCTGCAGGCCACTTCAGCTGACTGTTATCTGCAGTTCAGTGGTTCTAATCTCACCAGGCTCAAGGTTGACTCAGCCTTCCGTCCTTCCGAGGTGGGTGAAATGAGGACCCGGATTGTTGTTGGGGGTGATATGCTGACTCTGTAAACCGCTNTCTGGGAGTTGAAGTCCACAAGTCTTAAAGTTGCCAAGTTTGGGAACCACTGCACCAGAGCTGTGGTGAGTTCTCAGCCTGACACTTTGGATGGATGCAATTCTACTTTTGAGGGAGTGAGAATGCCGTAATCCTCCTCCTTATGGAAAAAAACTACTCGTTTATTCAACATAAAATATCCAGGGTGGGATTGCACTGCCTAATGGTGTGTAATTGACGGGAGACGGATGAAAATATAGTACATGAAAAGCCCAGGATACAGAAATCGTCACGCGTCACAGTTAGGAACTGTACATCCGAACATAGCAGACACTGAAATAAATTCCCCTCCGACCCCCAACAAGTACAGACACCGTCCCACAGAGCATATACAACGAGCTCTCCCCAAAGCTTTGCCAGTTAAGGAACTGGAGACCCCCCCTCAAGAGTCCCAAACACCACAACTCAATGTCAAACGGCATTGTTCCTTCTTCTTCTTTTAATGAACACACCCACAGACCTTGATGTGTTTAGAGCCCTGTCTTCGTTACGTATGTTGGTGAATTTCTGGTATTAGAATGCTCCTCGGAAATGAGGGGGCCAAAACTTATTGTCAAAAAGGGGGGTGAGAAAAAAATGACAGCGCAGATTTCCAGGCTCAACAGTCGGAAGCTTGCAAAATCGGTTTGCATCGCCAGGGGAAAATCGAATCGGTTTAAATAGCCTGTAATGGGGTTTGGAAGAGACCACCTCTCTTTCGATCGCCGTCATTATTGTGTCGGACCCACGGAGCTGCGCTATCTGTACAAGTAATTTGCACAACGAACCTACAGTTTTAAGTAGCAGTTGCTAAAGGTTCCGTACCCCAGAAAGCCACTCAGACCCACCAGAAGAGAAGATAATTCTTCAGAGGTCAAGCGCGAGTGGTCGCACAATTAAAACCATCTTAGTAGAAGCCGCTGCATGTCAGAAGTCGCCCGCATGAGCCTCTGGCACAGCTGCACACAACACACATCGTAGCTATGACAGTGCAGCCTCCTTAAATACCCCCTTCCCAGTCCACAGGATGTTTTTCCCCCTTAGCTGAGCCGCCCAGGGACTTCTAGGCATGGCGGAGAAGAAGAGAGGGGAAGAAAGGGGGAGGAAGGTCTAGGAATGGGGTCCTCTTCCTCCCTACGAACCTTTGGCGTTTGTGGGGTGACCAGGGACAGAAAGGAGAGGGTGAAGCTGGATGTCTCTGGAGGACCACCACTGGGGCATGGGCCCATTCTTAAGCACCCCTCTGTTGGGGAACATGGATATGAACCCATCACCGTTATGAGTTGCGTGAAGAAGGGATCTAGTTTGACCTGACAGAATCTGCTCCCTTCCATTTTGCTAAATTCAAGAGAGAATTTTTTTCCCTGTAATGACCTCACCACACACCATTTGCTAAACCTACAAGACTTTCCCCCCCTCTTCCTGCCTCCTGAGAAAGATGCTTCAGTCTCTGGCTGACCTGCGTGGGCGTTTCCTGCGGCACAACCTTCCTTTGGAAATTGGGCAGTCCTAACCGAATGCCGTGTTTCCAAATTTCCATTTTTTGCAGGATTGACTTGAATATCCAAGGAAGTTCTCCGTCGGTGAGAGGAACAGCGTTTATCCGAACGCCTGTCCACCTTCACAATCCCAGTTGCCAAGGAGATTCAGCTAAATTAGCGGTTTGTGGGCCTTGACAGTTCAGGGTTGATAGAAAGAGTGCAAGGCTGCTGATCGATTCACAAGCGCCTTTGAGCTACTCTAGGCGTGAGTACACATACACACGGGCCCGTTTGCTTCTCAGGGTTGAAGACGAGAGCCGTCCTGCGAAGAATGGAGTCCTTGAAGGCATGGTAATTGCTTGGTGTGAGATGGAGAAGTTCCCTTGGCAACCAGAACAAAAACTTGGTTCTCCTCTTGTCTATGTCCACCGTGAAAAACGTTGTAGAAATTTGGGGCTAGATCTTTCCATGGTGACACCACATTCCTCTTCAATGTACACACAAACACACTTTCATCTCCCAGGTGGAATGTCTCTCCTTGCACACGGGGGTGGTGAAGATGCAAGTAACAAGGACCTTCTTTGGGCCAAGGATGGTAGTGAGATATTGCACTTCTCGGGTGTTGGGGGTGTTGACTTCCTCCAGGTGGGGCAATCACCCCTGGGAGCCAGAGTTCGATTGGGGGACCCCACGCCCAAACATCTCCTGCCCCCACTCCTTCTGGGTGGACTCCTGGAGGCCGCGGCCTCTGGTTTCGATGGGAAGCAGGCAGGAGGCCAAAGCTGCCAAGATGCAGCACCCGCTGTAGACGATCAGCGTCAAATAGACCGAAGACTCCAGCATCACCTGGAAATGGAGGTAGAAGAAGGTCAGCAAAGAAGGGGGCCCTTGCCATCACTCGGACAAAACAGGGCCCTCCAGGCTTGGTCAAATCCCCCAGGGTTAAATTAGGTTAGATGGACAAGCCAAGATTTTGGCTGCAGTTGGTTAGGGGCCTTGTTATTGCGGTGATTGGGACTTTGCAATACTATTGTGACAAAGACAAGGATGATGGCTTCCTATCAGCCTAAGTAGGTGAGGCTCAAGAGCCGAGGTGGCGCAGTGGTTAGGGTGCAGTACCGCAGGCCACTTCAGCTGACTGTTATCTGCAGTTCAGCGGTTCTAATCTCACCGGCTCAGGGTTGACTCAGCCTTCCATCCTTCCGAGGTGGGTGAAATGAGGACCCGGACTGTGGGGGGCGATATGCTGACTCTGTAAACCACTTAGCTGTAAAGCACAGTAAAGCGGTATATGA